TTTTATTTAACATTAAACGAAAAATTAATGAAATAAAAATATTCAATTGTAAAAATTCATCTCTAAAATGATAATAAAGTCAATACCATAAAAATTAATATAATAATAAAGAATATTTTATATTAATATGGCATACATTACTCAATTCTTATATGTTAAATGCATTTATGCACGGTGGTACATATTTTGTGCTAACAAAAAAAAAAAAAATTATGAATTTATTTGACAAGATTTATATAGTTTTATGCCATTATAATAACTTTACAAACACTTAAACAGAAGACTGTAAATTTTGTTATTGTATGTCAACAGACTGTAATATATTATATATCATGATCACAATAACTGGGAAATGAGAACAATATCATACCGCCTATCAACGCGTGAACGTGAATGTATAATAGATTTTTCAATGGGCAGTGGGTTTTTATCTACACACTACATACAGAATGGTCACAGTTTTATGACACCACTGGCTACTTTGTACCCTATCGTAACACAAAAAAAGGTTTAATTATTAAGTACATGACAGTTAAAAAAAAAAAATTTAATTGTTATGAAAAAGAGTACCATCGATTTCAAAATGGATTTATAATTCAATAATTTAATTAAATTCTGTAATAATATTACTTTTTATAAATGAAAATGCTGGTAAATTCATTTATTTGGTCAAAAATTGTTTTTAATCAACGGGCAAAAATAACAAATACTCACTTCAATTACCTTAACACAATAAAAAAACATTCTGTCATTAATTAAATAAGTACTCAGAATTCTAGACAAATGTCCATTGTTTACGTAAAAATGCATAATCTAATTGACATTGAATATTTTTCATAGATGTAGCTATAGAATTCGAGCTACAACCAATGTAGTTCCTGTAAAATGTAATCCTTAATATTCAAGTCCAAGTACACAATTAAATTCCAATGAAATAAAATAAATTTAAAGAAAAAGTAATAAGGTTCATACTAGCTAGATTTTGAACTATTTACAGAATTTGTCAACAAAAAAATAAGTAAAAATAAACAGAATAAAAAATCTGTAGAAAAATTTTTATAGCGAGTAATATTAAAACATAATTTAACCTCATTTGAAGCATATCACATTTTTCATCATTTCTGTTTAATGTAAATATAATTTATTGTGAGTACACTATTGCAGCTTTCTTTTTAACTTGATAAATTTAGCTTACTTCTAGTTGAAANTATTAAAACATAATTTAACCTCATTTGAAGCATATCACATTTTTCATCATTTCTCTTTAATGTAAATATAATTTATTGTGAGTACACTATTGCAGCTTTCTTTTTAACTTGATAAATTTAGCTTACTTCTAGTTGAAAAATAAATATTTAAAGCACTTTAATATTTATTAATAAGTTTTTCTAACAACTTAATTTGAAAAATGTTTGAATCACTTAATATGATAGTTATTTATTTATAGTGACTGTATAAAATGAAAAATGTAATTTGTAAAATTATAATTTTTATTCAAATCTACTGAGCATATAATTTATGAATTTAATCATGTTTCACCATATTTTTAAAGTACTAAAATAAATTTTCATTGTGATATTTTTATTTTTCTTTTATTGAAAAATTTCGCATAAATCATAGTCATTCAGCAAATAAAATATTAGATATAAAAGGATTAATCAAAAGAGTACTCAATGTTTTATAACATTATTTTAATTAAAACCACTAAATTAAGTCTTCTGTGTGCAGCTGTTTCACTTAATTGTTAGTAAAAGAATTTGTAATTACAAACACGAACTTTTGTCTTGTTTTATAACTTAAACAACTCTGAAAAGACAACCTCAACACTTATCAAAAACGAAATATGTTATACCATTATGTAAGCTTTAAATAGCAACTTAAAAAATCGAAAATGAATTTAAAGAAAACGGGTATAAATGAAAAAAAACAATGATTAAAATTTAGTTTTCCCTTTAATTTTATTTGTAATATATCTGATAAAATATTTTTCATTGTACTTAAACTGTATATAAAAGAATAATTACCTTTAAAATATTTGGTATTTTACAAAATAGCTACGAGTAATTATTTCATTTTATTTTTTTTTAGATAGTATCTATAAAATTATAAATTCGCTAAAAAATTTCTATCGTAATAACAAAAAAAAAACGCATTTATCTTTAAATTACGCAAGTATTAGATATCTAAAATAACAATGCATCTAAGTGTTTCGAGTATTCATTTGTTTTAAAACAATGTTCATCATCAAAATAAATAATTTATGGTTTTAAGATAAGTTCTGTTCAATAGACATTATTAATCATGGCTCTTTCAAGCTGCTATTGGTTGACGTAATCTAAAACTCGATCGACATGTAAAGAATACTTTATTATATTCTATTTATAAAAAAAACCATACAAAGATTTACCGAAAACATACAATAAAGAGAAATTGGATGAAAAAAATATATATATTTCATTTAGTGTAAATATTATTCGAGAGATAAAAAGCAGTAAATTTTTACTTATGCTTACTGATTGTAGTTAAATAAAGTTACAGAAACGTTAGTTTACGGAATTCTTATAAAAACTGAAGTCATATTCAAATGCTTAACGATCTAAGAGTCAATAAACAAAAGAAACGTAGAGAGTTTTCTTCTCGTTTATTTTTTATTTGCACATTCTTCAAATGTTGTTTTGATCTGAATATTCATAAATACAATATAGCGCGAAAGCCAAAATATGGTAATGGTGTATATTTTTGGCTAAAGCGTCTGGCCTTATTACATATAAATTTACAACTAACGTTATCGACGAATAAAAAACTCGTTATGCAAACCGAGTGCAATAAGAGCGAATTCCGTATGGAAAAACATTAAACAGCTAAAAGGCCGTAGCTATTTTCACTTCCTTAGTGCTTAAATCTCCCGATTGGACTTTTCGCTTATTAGACCGGGACGATATTAACCGCCGACGCAGGCTGATGGTCTGTGGTTGGCAATTGAAGTTTTCCGCTAAAACGGTAAAATATAACCTCAAACGACTCTGAAATTTCCGCACGTAACCTACCTTGGACCGTAAAATAATTAATATAGGTCAAGTCAAAGAACCCGATTCTTTCCGGACCTTATCCGTATAATGTATTAGGGGATACACGCGACTATCCGTAAATTGCATTAACGTCGATTCGTTTAAGTATTAATAATGATAAACTGACCGGCGGCTATCATTCACTGTCTTAATGAACAATTTACATATAAATAAGCTGATCAAAAACGACCGCATTACAACAATCAAAGCAAAACGTCTCCCTTCAAGTATACTGTGATTTTTGTTTAACCTAACTGGGTTCAGTTAATCAAAAAACATACACAATTAGAGATGTTCCGAACATTTTATTTTTTTATTGAACTGTATTTATTCTTGCAACGACCAATTTTTTTTACTTTTAAACGTAACTCTATCAGTCTGCTATTGGCCCAATTACCAATGTCCAATATCCGCCCACTAAATACAACATTCCATTAAATTCCTTCGCTGTTTTTACAACAGTCGCCTTGAAAGCATGTCCATCCATAATGAAACAAGTGTGCAGACGTTTCAACACGTATGCTATTTTGTGAAACATTTTTACTAGTTGACTATAACGTAGAAATATCTCTAAGATTTTTGTATTAAATAAAAAAAAAACACTTGAATACATCACTAGCTTTATCCTTATCTATGTTAAAAGTTTAAAAACTGTAACTTCTTTAAAATAAAAATCAGTAGTAAACAGTTTTTTAAATATCAACAACACTAATAACGTTTTAATTAATATCGACTTATTATTAGAAACAAATAGTCATAATTTATCAAATTTAAGTTTTCATTCATACTAATATACTAATTAATTTCATTAAATTATAAATTTAGGTAATGAGACCCTACGAAATAGACGTGTATTTTAAGCTGTAACTTCATACAATAATAAAATGTAAGCTTTGGCTGATGTAACTAAAAGGTTTATAATTTGTACTAGACATCAATATTTAATAGACCTTTTTATCAATAGACACAGAAACATCAATTTATTGTATTAGATTACTAATTGTATTAGAATATCAGTCTCTTAAAAATAATAACTTTTATAATGAGACATTAAATATTCATAATAATTTTTATGTTACATTTCACACAAATTAAAATAATTTTCGATATATTTAAACCAATTCGGTTCAAATATAAACGATTAAAAAATAGGTAATTTTATGTATCGTTGTTAAACATTATTGTGGCATTCATATCAACATTTACACATATTTATTCATTATTATCTTTTTAATGCAAATAATTTAACTTATTCGTTCTTTTAATTTTCTTAAGATTTAAAATAAATTGAAAGTATAAGATATTTGGCAAAACATATGATATATAAATAATATAATTTTATTAGTACATAAAATGAAAAAATGAACATTTATGTGTCTACTTTGTAATAATTTATTTTTGACGAGTTTCATAATAAGACCATACATAGACCTCTTCAACGGTTGGAGGTATACTGGGTTAAGGTAGTACAAAACATAACCTGTATCGCTATTTACATCAGGTGCAGTAACGCCCGAAGCAGTCAGGAATGTATAAGATACCATGAAACCAAAGAACTCACGAGTTAGCTCTATATGACGCCTTTGAATTATTATTATAGTAGCATACCTTGCTAAACTAACCGGCAATCATTAATTATAGTATTTCTGATGAATTTTAATAAAAAACAAAAAAATTTGTGAAAAATAACGCCCCAATTAAACATTTAAAAAATTGGGAAAAAAAAATTCAACCGATTTCATAATTAATCCTACACAACAATTTGAGTCACTTCAAAGTTTTTAATGATAAGATAAAAACGAGTTTTAGGAAGCTCATATAGATAATAATTGATATCAAAAATAGCGTTATCAATTTGCGTAGTCGTTTAAAATAAAACAAAAGGCATTCACCACCTGTTGTTGATAGAAATTACTGTAACTATTAACATACATTTCTCTCGTGGAACAGTTGATTCAGGTCCATATCCATTCTGATGATTTAAGCTTATGATTAAAATACGTCAGCAGTTGCGACCATGCTGACAGATTAAACACCATGACACAAATAACAAAATGCTACTGATCACACATCGATAAAAAATTTGGATAAGTTAAAACTTCATAGTAAATCGAAAAACGATATTCACATTAATAATAGAATTACTTTTTAGTAACTACAGCGAATAAAAATATGAAAAATAATTATTGAGAACCGCAAATGTGCCGAGGTTCGGGACACACTCGGTCAGATGTTCGCATTAGCACGACTGCTATGCCTGTATCTACTTCTCGATGCACACTCACTGCAGACACACACACATACAACGTTGAACTCTCTCACTGCCACCACACCACATCCAGACCCTCACAGCTATTTACACTGACGCACGCACTAACATACAATACCTATTGCCACCAGTAGGAAGATACCAACATACATATTATTATACACACTTACAGAAGTAAAATTCAGGCCGTACCCCTCCTAAAAGTAATATAGGTGCCTACGGGAACAGTGAATATACATTTAACCCAAATAGTTTACTATTCTTCCGAATTAATTGACTAAATGTATATTATCTGTCGTTTTTAAGATTGCTCTAGTTCTTTGTTATTATTGCAGTTTTATAATAAAAGAACATTTAGATAAGGGCCCCCTATTGTATTTTGTATAAAATATAGTTAAACTATAACCTTCTGTATGATGATAATAGGTGTTACACACTCAAGCACCACTTAAAATGAAACAAGTTATTTGTAAATACAATATATAAATTTAAATAGTACAATGAAAAATAATTTGTTACCCTTATCATTTGAATGTTAACATTTTTGCACTCATTAATGGATAAAAATTTGTTACGTTTAGCAGTATGAATTGCTTTCATATGCAAAAAACTTATCAAGAAATTGATACTCTAAAGAGAAAAAAATAATAAACATTTAATACAAAGTTCAATACCGATGATACTACCATCATTTTGACTTAAAAAATCTTATTTTATTTCTTAAAACAATAACTAAAAACCCTAAATACTTTTAAGTTATTATACAAAATATTTAAATTTTATTATGAAATTTTTTTTAATTTAGAAGTATAGATATTATTATAAAAATTAGTGTTATAGAAAATATTTTATTTATTTCGATAAATAAATTCAAATGGCATATAAAAATATACACACACGAAAAAAGAAAAGTCTGACATGAATTATTTTAAATACCTTATAAATCAAAGTCTTATCTGTAAAGTATCACAAAATAAATATATAAATTACCAAAACAAAATTTATATTCATTGTTAAAAGAAACTTGTAGACACATTTCAAAAGTTCTACTAAAATACACAATACTTATCACAAAATCTCGAATATGTAAAAACTTTTGGGACGATGAACACATGTATCATATGATGTCATTTGCACAGTAAAAACTTTCTTTTGTTCATATGTGTGTCAAGAAATGTGTTGTTTTCGCGTCAATAAGTTTTACTTACATGTTAGTAAGAAAACGTATTTTGAAGTTAATTTTCTTTTACAACTGAATATTTTTTGCATTATAATTTTACAACGAATCTAATGAAAAAAATTTATCACATAGGAGAAACACAAAAAAAATATTTTCGGCTTACAATATTTACATGAATGTTTTATGGAATATCGCTGCTAATTTAATTTCCACCATAAATATTGAAAGAACGCTTGGATCTTGTTCAAGGATATAAATAAGATTTTTTTATATAATACAGCAGTAAAAATTAAGTAGCCATTGTTAATTGTCAGTTAAAAAGCTCTTGTACTATAAACTGTAATATAAACATTAAATTGCATTATCTGTACTCTCATTTGGCTAAATTTCTAGATGATTTGAATAACGTTAATGAAAAATAAGGGAAATATTTCATTAGGATATAAAACATATGAAATAACGTGACATCAGAAAGTTGTGAATATTTTTTCACAAAATTTCAACCATGACTATTGTTCTCTTACTCAAATTTTGCAACGGTTTTATAGAAATTAATTTAATAATTGAATAAATAAAATCTAATTATACTATAACAGATTATTAGTACTTCATATTTAATCGTATTTAAAATTTAATAACAAAGTTTTTTTTTAATAATTAACATTCTCACGGGTATATAGATATATTGATTAGATACAAAACACCAAGTCCCTTAAATAAAATTAACTCAAATTATAGAACAATGGATTGCGCACATGTCCCTTTAAATTTAATTGATTAACAAATAAGTAGTATCTTTTAGTTAAATCTAAAATCACAATTTCGACTCTCAGAATCAGGCCTATAAAAGAACGATTTCTGGCTCATTTAAACCTTATTTTTTTTTTTAAATCTGGTCATAAAGCGTCTATACGCCAGACTGTTTCATAATTGTGCACTATCTAAACTGCGTTTAACAAAAAATATACGTCAATTTGTAATACATAGATTTACTTAATTTAAATAAAACTGTGATTGAAATATAATTATAACAAAAAATGAGTAAGTTTTACGAAAGTTCGAAATTTATGCATGTTTTTTTATAAACAGCTATTATGTCGGTTTTTAATAACGCATTAAGACAAAAAAATACATTTAAAAATTTCCATAGTATTGTCTATTTAATATAATAACTTCATAACAGTCAGTGAAATCAAACAAAGAGTGAAAAATTCAATTTAATTTTTTGACAAATAAGTGTTATATCAATTTTAAAGGCCTAACAAACAAGTTAAACTTGTCACAGCAGTCTCAAATTTCTCACAATTGTTTTATAACATAATTTAAATAATTTAAAGAGTTTTAGGAAAAAAAAAACATTTTTTTGTATTATTATGAATTTTTAAGCGTGAATTATCACTTAAATACTAATCAGTAATTAATCTCAGAAACTAAATGTCATAGAACAAATCTTAAACCAGAATTGAAATCATCAAAATTTCATAAAAGATTAATTTAAATATTGTAAACAGCAGAATTTTTTTTTGTTGTTTTCCTGTATTACTGAATTAAGTTCATTGTAATACTTGGATATTTTAAATATTTGTTGAAGATTTTCTTACTAAATTTTATTTAACACTATTATTTATTTAAAATACGTTTAATACAAACAATAAATTAATACAATATTCCCCTTAGAAGTTACAATTTAAAAGTAACTTCTTAAAAAAAAATCTTAATATCAATTATATAATGAAATTGTCATCTTCTTAATGATAAAATTACATATTAATAAATATTAATTTGTATATTAACTAAAATTAAATATTTTTAATATTTAAACCTGTAAATGACATAAATTACAACATGTAAAAATAAACTCTACTTTTAATAGTCGTGCTTCGAGGATATTTTATGGTAGTAACTTATTTTCATTATTGTTTAACGATTTCATGAATGATTGTAGATCATTGATGTATATGTGTATTGTGATTATCTTTTGTTTGCAGATAATATTAATTTTTTTTTTAATTAAAACATTATCTTATTTATAATAAATTTCAAATTGATTTAAATAGGTTTCTAGAGTGTTATTTCAGAAATCATATTATGATTAATTCATATAATTATAAAAGAATTGTAAAATTAACGCTTATATAAATTATAATGCTAATCATTTCAATTTAGAATTGCTCAAAAAGAAAATTTCAAAAATTATGTAACATTCATATATAATAGTAAATTTAATGTACCCATCCAACAATTCTGCTACATTTTATAATACGACACTAAAATAATATTATAGTCTTTATGAATTACTAAATATTACATTTTTAAATTGTAATACAGTAAAAATTTTGATTTTTTTAATGATCCAATAAAGTTAATTTTGATATTTCATCCTTGCGTTTATTTACTATTTTATTATATATTATTTTATTTTAATACCATTATTTTTTTTTTTTATTTAATTTGTATTATTTGTTTCAGGACCATATATATTTTTAATTTAATTGAAAAATATAAAAAAAATACCAGCACAGTCGGGTCATGGTACAGTGGGGACGTAACATAGTTGGGTCCAGTATAGATGATATCTGACAGTAATTAAAATTACTATCATAAAAAATGCTTCGATGAAAATCTGTAGATAGTGTTTAATTTAAAATCAATTGGTGGATTATTCCAAAAGCATCATGATTTCCTATTTCCTTATTTATATACTGATTACATGTTTTATGATTTATAAGTGTAATATACGAATAAATAATTAGTATATCAATTAAATAAAGTATGAAATGGTTATTTAATAATTTAATATTGTAATTTCATTTAATTAAAATTTTATTTCTATTCTATAATATATATATAAAAGTGTCAGTATTTCCGGAACATTTCCAAAACTTAAGTTGAAAAAGTTCTACTTTCTATATGCATTTTTAAGTTTTGAACCCTCCCTGTATTAAGGAAAATGGTCCGATTAAAAAAAAAACTATGTCAAATGTTAGAGGTGTATAAATATTATATCTCATAAAAAAATTGTATTGATCCATACATTTTTTAAAAAGTTATAGCATTATAAAGTTAAAAATGTAAAAACCCAGCACAGGGGAGTCAACATAGTTCGATCAAGTATAATAATATCCGACAGTGATTAAAATCACTATAAAAAAAAAACGCTTCAATGCAAACCTTTAGTGTTTAATTTTAAAAAATTGGTGGATTATTCCAAAAGCAACATGATCTGCTAGTTCGTTATTAATATCCTGATTCAGATAAAGTATATCGAATGAAAAAGGGATTATTAAAAATTATTATTTCTCATAAAAAAATTATGTTGATCCATACACTTTTCAATAAGTTATAGTATTATAAAGTTAAAAATAAAAAAATAAAATCGAGAATTTTCACACAAAAATAGCATTTGGTAGCCTGATGACAAAATAAAGTATGAAATTTTTTTTTTCCATAATAAAGTGCATTACATTAGCTTTAATTTATGATATATATATATATAAAAGTGTCAGACTTTCCGGAACACTTTCAAAATTTAAGTTGAAAAAGTAAATTTTTTCTGAAAAAGTCATCATTTCGAATCCCCCCTGTGGGCCCCTGTGATAAAGGTTATAAAAAAAAAAAAAAACACATCATAGTAAAACCAATACTTGCTCAGCTTCACATCGAAGCTAAAAATCAAATTCAAGAATTTTAACACAAAAATAGTATACAGTAGCCATTTTCACCATGAAGACAAAATAAAGTCTGAATTTTTTATTTTTTCTTAATAAAGTATATTACATAAGCTTTAATTTACGATATATATATAAAAGTGTCAGTATTTCGGAACACTTTCAAAAATTAAGTTAAAAAAGTTATACATGTTTTAGGATTTATAAGTGTAAT